GGTGTAAAAAATATTTAGTAAAATCAACAGAAAATTCAAAATCCAGTCCAACAGACACCTCTGCGCCCAAGTCCATCCCCGTATGTTCGCACTTATTACCTTCTCGTGAACAAGAGGAATGTGAGGGAAAATAGCACCAATGCTCGAAGACTGATGAACCGGCGGCACACATAACTCAAGATAAGAGCAGCAGAAAGAGCGACTTTATAAAAAGACAAGGCGTCATCCTCGCCGGCCCTTATCAGCTAACTCTACATTCTCTCTTTTCCTCTCATCGCTTGTTCTCTCCCGATTCTCTTCCTTCGCCCCGTCTCTTTTTTCTGCCCCATCTTCTACTCCTCTCTCCGTCTGACACATTCCTTGGCCCTCGAGACATCTGCCAGCTGATCTCCTCCTAATTAGTTACAGGGCCTCTCATCAGGCCGCAGGTATGCCATCGCCGCCCATGTCACTCGCGCATGATTTTGCGAGCGTCACCAGGCAGGAATTCCACATTCGCCAACGAATTAAAAGCCTCTAACGAAACAACCAATATCCTTACCACGCAGCAACGACTCAGAAACTACCTTCATTATTTCGCGATCATATTACCAGCGCCATCTCTAACATCCACTACGACAAAAACACTGTGACACTTTACCTGCCTCACTAAGCCCCTGGTGCCACTTGGGTGAACGTGATCGTCCCAGCTCTTTTCACAGGGAAGAACATAAGAAAGCGATTAATCAGCAAAGGCGCGAGAGAAGATGCCACTTTAGCAGAGGAATCCATAACAAGAAATCATTAGCGCTCCTTCGCAGGGAGCAGGCGCCTCCCCATCCATCAAGCTCGAGAAAAGGAAACACCTCACATCAACAGCATCCGCGGTGAGCAATCATCTTCCATCATTAGCATCCGAGGAAGACAACTTCATTCGCCGCTGACATCTACTTAGTGAATTTATTATTTCTGAAAACGCATCGGATTAGCCTCCTTAATCAGCATTGCACGAGATAAATATAAGCAGTTCCAGGTGCACGACGCGGCAATTAATTAACAAAGACTTGAGTTGTAAAGCCCTTCTAATTATATGCACCTGAGATAAAATAAACACATTCCAAATTATATTCAAGTAATAACAACTGATTAACGATGTCGGAGTTAATAAGGACCTCGCCTGCTTTACGGTGATGAATTAGTTGGCACAATAACATCAATAAAAAAAAAACTCGAATCACAGAATTAAAACTGATTACACCTGCGTGGCATTACTGTCCCAATGCTAATAAATCACACTCCCATACCCGTGATGCGATAAACCCTTCATACTTTATTTCGCAATGAGTGATCGCACGCGTGTCTGCCGCTAGAATCTATTCTAATAAACGCCGCTCCCTCAGTACCATGGGAACGCCTCTCACTGAAGCGCAAATGAAAATATACTGCCACTGTTAACAAACACAATGCGGGCACAACAACAGTGATATTAGCCACATGGTTAACCTCATCACCAACACCAACAACCTCACCTAACCAAGATTTCGTATCCAAGACAGCGAAGCATTCCTAATCAGAGGCTGTGATAGCATTCCTAAGCGCCGTCATGAAAACCCTCATTATCACTGTCGCTGCAACGGGGATGTCGGACGACAGCAAGAATCGGTGTAGGGGAATCGGACGAGGCAAGAGTCGTGTGTTGAGGAATCGGAGGAGAGTAAGAATCGGGTGTAGGGGAATCGGACGAGGCAAGAATCGTGTACAGGGGAATCGGACGAGGCAAGAATCGGACGAGTTGCATGATGCGGGGTCCGGAAACCCGAGGAGGCGGGCGCACGAGCAGGCCGTTCTATACATGCAGACGACGCGTGGAGTTTAATTAAAGGGTGATGGTCGCGCGTTACTCCCCCGATCTCCCGATTATGTATGGCAATTAATCACCCTAATGGAGTTCAGCTTAATTAGATCAATGAGTCTTGTGTTCTTCACTTCGTTATGCCAGCAAAATATGAAACCATGAGTGCTCCTCGACTACCGTCAAATACATACACATTGATGGCTTTCAAACGCACATTTTTGGAGTTTCGAACTTTTTTTCAGAACCCACGCCTCCCTGAGAAACTACCTTTATTGAGAACCGTTTCAAAATTCACAGCTTAATGAGATATCCATCCACGTTACCCAATGCACATTAACTACCTTCACGCCCACAAGGCCTCCTGCTGCCTTCTAATATCATTACCATGATTGATAATCTCAGAAGTGGATGATTGCCCTTTGCATTAGCCTTCGTCTTGGGCCAACACCACTTGTTGAGAGCAACTCACAATTGCTACAGGCTGGAGTATCTATCCATCCACACATCTATCTATAAATATACATATACATATGTATATACATACATACAAACATACATACATACATACACACACACATATATAAACATGCACGCACGCACGCACGAACAAACAGAAACAGAAGCACACACACACACACACACACACACACACACACACACACACACACACACACACACACACACACACACACACACACACACACACACACACACACATGAAAAAATGTATATGTATATGTACTTGCATATATTTATATATTTACACACATGTATATACATACTGTATATACATATATATGTAAATTGATCGACGCTAAGCTAAATAGGCTTTCGGCAAATATTAAAATTTCCATTCTCAAACTTTTCTTTTCACTAGAGACAAAGACAGGTGAAAACGCAGACAGACAGAGAGGTAAATGCATGCTAGAAATACACACACACACACATACTTTTTTATACAGATCCCCTCCTCCGAAAACACCAAGTTATAAATCCAAACATGAAGTAGTTATGAAATTTTCCCAACACTTACATTGAATTTGAAACTGTATCAACAACGCTTAAACAGGATGTAAAAGTTTAGCTTAAACATGATTTCAATATGGTACTTGTTTGTACTTGATCTGATTTCTTTTAAACGATATTAAGACGAATACGGAAAAATTACAAAGAGAAGGTAAATCAATACGAAACAACTAAGAAATTTTTTATTAAGATATAATGCGGTAAAGTTGAAAAATAAGTAACAGCTAACTAAGCTTTATGTTTCTGAAGAAACATGAAAGAAAACTACCCCAGTTCTTTTAAAATGTAAAAAAAAAGAACGAAAAGAGGAAAAATGGGTAGAAAAAGGAAACAGCGGGAGGGAGAAGATTAAGTAATTCGTAGAATAGAGATTAAGGTGGAGAAAGGGATAAACGGTGAGATGGGAAAATGAGGGAAGATGACTGAGGGAAGCTGAAGAAAACTAAAACAAAAACGCGAAGGATAAAGCAGTCCGGACAAAACTAGACACTAGCAGGAGTGATAGTGACCGGGTGAACGCGTACAGTGGCGGTGCAGAGACGGCGGGGGAAGGGGCGAGGCGCGGGTTCGCCCAAGCTCCAGCGTGTAATCTCCCGGCCGCAACCATGACACAATGCTGCGACGCGACACAAAATGTAAAAAGGAATCACAGATGAAGTCGGTGCTTTCAAGCCGACCCTCTCCACAAGTGGTGCTGTAAGCCTAGATGTGGCCGAGGGAGAGGAGGAGGGACGGGAGAATGGAGGGAAGGAGAGAGAAGAGGGAGTTGCAGAGTAAAGGCATTTGGAGAGCTCGGGGCCAAGGGGATTAGGAGAAGAAAGAGAGAGAAAAATGCGGAGGGAACAAATGCATACGTAAACAAAAAAAATCTGTCAGAAATAAAAATGACACCAAGTTACAGAAGGAAATAAAAGGAGCTGAAGAGAAAATAACAAAAAGAAAGAGGATGAAGGTTAGAAATTCCGTCAGTGAATAAAAGAAGGACTTGCTGTGCCACCGCAAAGGGGAAGAACGGCTTTAGCATAACTGAGAACCTAATGAAGCTGCTCGCGACCTGCCATCGCTTGTCAGCGCTCGAGTCTTTGAGAGGGAAGGCCAGAGACGTGCCATGATTATCAGCAAACGATCCCTTCGCTGCATGAGTGGACTAGGGCCGGTACCAATAAAATGAATAAAAGTCCTCCTCCAACTGTAGCAAATCACGCACTTTCGTCCCCCAAGCACAAATCAAATCATACTAAAGCAAACAAAAACCCTTTCCCCCTCTACATTCAAAGTCTATTCCACCTCGAAAAAACATTCCCACATCCAATTTCCAGCTGTAATTTTTTAACGGAGGGGAAAAAAACAGAAAACAAGAGAAAAATACGGACTACGAGCGCCATCAGGTGCGTCGACGGAATTAATTACTTCTTTTCGTCGGTTAACCTGATTCCCGACGTAGAATCAGGTGAATGCATATTTCCAGCGCCCAGCGAGAGAGACAGTTCCTCCACAATGGCGGACACGATGCGAGTCTCTTTCGAGACTTTTCATTTCCGTGCGCTCGCTTCCCCATCAGCCTTGGAAATTGCCGGTGATTCGAAGGAAAAAAGTGGGTGGGAGGTTGAGCAAAGGGGGGAGGGGAAAAGAGAGGGATGTAACCCGAACTTGGCGGGATAAAAGGGCAAAGAGTTTGTTGGGGGATTCTTGGATGTGAATAAGTGGATAACTTCAGCAAGATCAGAGGGGAAAAAACGGAAATGTGAGAAGACAAGCGCCCTGAGTTGGTGATCCGCGGAACTTCTGGAAAGTTGACTCTTGGATCAATCGCAGCTTTTTCCATCCCCAAGATAATATGCAGCGGGGAATACCCGACGGCATGAAAATGAAGATGGTTCCCGGGTCGTCCCTGAAAAATGTTTTCTTTTTCCAATAACACAGTAATATTTCAATGAAAACAACAGTGTATTCTCCTCAGACGTCATCGATGATGACGCTTACGACGATGACGATGACTAGCAGTGACGCACGACGCATTATTCCAACGAGCAGTGCCGGTTCCACCTCAAAAACCCTCCCTTCCCCTCCCCGGAACACACCGCTTCCCCTCATCGTGTACCAGGCCAGCAAAACAAGATTCACGAGGCTTTACCGACGA